GCCAGAGGTGCAGAGGCAGTGAGACAATTCACCAGAGACAGAGTGGAGAATAGAACAGGCAGATTGATGAAGTACACTGCTGAGGGGAGCAGCGGACGGGTCCGGAGAGGCCTGCTGCGCCATGTGGGTCACCTCCCTGGCTGGGGATTGAACTCGTGCTGCAGTGGCTGCTGCTTGCTTTGCAACTAGCTTGCAGTGCTGAGCTTTAACCTGTTGCGCCACCAGAAAGGGCCCCTCCTTTTCCTTCTTTGAACTGTTTTAGGGATACCACCAAAGATAAAAGATTAGGAAGATTAACCCTAAAATGTTTCTCTGTAACCAAGCTAAGGGGTGGGCGGTTTTATGACTTGGCAGTTGGCCAGCTAATGCATTTGCTCTAGAAGCTTCCCACTTCTGAGATTTCTAGCTTCATTCTGTGAAAGGTCAGATATAGGGGAATGTGCCACAACTTAAGTGTTGCCTACTTGAGACTGGCTTTCTCTTGAACAGAAAGTTAGATAAGAAGGGAGAAAAAGAGTCAAATGCATATTTATAGTCTTTTTCCTGCATCATCACTCTCTGCTGGATTCCAGCACAGTTGATTCTCTCCCATTTCCCGCCCTCCCATAGGGCCCCACTGACCACACACTAAATGAGCCTGAGAATCCATCTGGATGGGGCTCCTCCCTGGTGGCATAACGGGTTAAAGCACAGCACTATGAAGCTATCGCAGCCCCTGCAGCACAAGTTCTATCCCCGGCCGAGGAGGTGACCACATGGTGCAGCAGGTCTTTCTTATCTCAACCACTGCTCCCTTTAGCAATGTATTTCAGTCAATCCACCCATTCTGCTCTGGTGAAGCCTTTTACCCTCTGCACATCTGGCCTTCACCCCAGTTCTTGTATGCCTAAATAAGTAAATCTTTAAAAAGAAGAAGAAGTGGGGCCTCCCTGGTGGCACAGCACTAAGAAGCTAAAGCCACTTCCTCAAGAGTGCAATCCCCCGCCTGCCTCGGAGGTGACCACATGGCGTGGCAGACCTCTCCTGACCTGCCCACTGCTCCCCTCAGCAGTGTACTTCATCAGTCAGCCTGTTCTGGTCCCCACTCTGTCTCTAGTGAATCCTCTCACCTCCTCTGCACCTCTAGCGTGTACCCCAGTTCTGTATGCACAAATAAAT